TGGACCAGGTAAAAACAGAAGGCTTGTGTTAATGGTCGTAAATAAAGGTGGAAGGAAGGAAAAAGGTGACCATTTTAAAATTACATGCTTATATTAAACTATTTTTAATTAAGTAGCCACCATTTTCGGTAACTTGTCCTAATGTACATTTGTACATTTGGCTATAAATTAAAATTAAATGATTAAAACGAACTTCTTTTTATGTGTTTATCTGGACTACCATTAATTTGATCAAAGTCTCTTTCGACTGTTGATCAAGAAATCACCGGATTGTTCTAAGGGACACAGTATGCCTTCAGCAAAACAAATATTCATGAAGTTAAAATTGTTATATTCAATAAATTAAAACAGTAGTTACCTTTATTTATTTAAGATTTTTAAGTTAGACTTCAACATCAAATTTTTACTTTTTGAGAAAGATTTTCACTAGTTTGCACTGAGATTCACTAGACAACGTCAAGATATCGCCTTGTCTTCACTATAGGGTTTAAAAATCCTGTTGACTGTGTGTGTGTTAAGGGCATTGTGAGTCTGTGTGTAGGTGTGCTGAGATGATCACAGTTCTTATTGTTATGGCGCCTGGGGAGACAAGAGGCTTTGTGTTAACCACGGTCTGTGCGATGCCAGTGTGTCTGTGTGTATATACTGTATACAGTATGTGTGTGTGTGTGTGTGTGTGTGTGTGTGTGTGTGTGTGAGCGTTTTTGAGGGTGAGAGAGATGAAGAGAAAGAGCGAGCTGATCCTGTGGTTATACACTGTTGGGCTTGGTTGTACAGTAAATCCCTGTCTTTGTAAACAGATCAATAAACTCTCAGCTGTAGGTGTATTTCTGTGTATGTGTGTGTGTTTATACTAAGCTCTCTCTTTTGCTCTCTGCCCTTAGGAAAGAGCAGCATGTCCAAAATGTTGCAGGATATAGCAAATAGATTGATTACAACATCCAACACTACTGTATATTCATGCTATATCAAAAAAATGGCATGATTTGCTCTTTGTGTTTCTGATATGCTAAAGCTCGTTCTCCACATCTCGTCTCTGCCCAGACATCAGATTATTCGGCCATGGCCTCACTAGCAGGCGGACTGGATGAGATGAAGAACAGTCTGGCCAATCCTGGTACAGGGGCGGAATTAGGAGCCAGTGTTTCTGGTCCACAGTCCTATTCACTAGTTCCAGGTAAGACAGACATTCAATGTATAGCTGCACATGTGCTGTGAAATAGACTTTTTGGGATCCTGATTGTCAACCACTTATAGCTGTACCAACCAAAAGGGTGCACATAAATCTAAGAGATGCTCCCAAAAAGATTTATTAAGTTCAGCTATGTCACCAACATTAAGTAACCGAATGTTGCTAAATTCAATAAAACTTTCTTGGAAGCATCTATTTAGTGAGGGCTAATATGTTTTTGCCTTTGTACTCCCACACCTGATATGATACTGGGATGTGCATTTACTACTCTGTATAATAGAATAATTTTACTGTTCATTCTTTTAATTTGTGGCATCAATTTTATGCAAAGTGCAACTACATTATATTCAATGTAAGAATAGGAAGTCATATCATATTTTTCCAGGACATTCTCAGAGTTCATCAACTTAATAATAAGTGAAAGTTAAGTTGTTGAACTTAGAAACAACTAAAGGTAAAGATGATCATTTTATTCTTACCATTGAGAACCATGATGAAAAAAAGTATTTGATAGCTTTGGCTCACATAATGATTATTTCATACAGGTATAATTAAATACCAAGATTTATACTATTTCTATAATAAATCCCAAGCCATGAGGCTCTGTAAGAGCCACCTCTGTAGTGAAGGAAGTTACGTGAGATGATCTAACCTGTTTAAAGAGTTCAGTGCTTTGGATCTCAGGAGAGGTGAGAAGCCCAGAGGAGAGCAGGAAAAGACAAGTGAAGGCTTAGCGGAAAGGTGAGAGCTTTGTCTCTTTCTAAATCTCCATTTAAGGGGCACTGGGAGATGCAGTGGCTAATTAAGAGTAGAACAGGGAGCACTTGGACAAGGCTTCAGTGTTCCCATCTGTAATAAGGGGAATCATAGAGGTGGGAATTTGGGATATCTGGGAATGGGCTCTTTTTTCCCCTCTGAATCCACTGAGGAATTCTACCTGCTCACACTGAGAAAGAGACAGGAATAGAGAAATAGAGAGAGAGAGAGAGAGAGAGAGATAAAATTTCCATTTCTGCTTATGCATGCAAACACACACATTATTATTCACACACTTTTCAGAATATTATGCATTCCTTTCCTTCCCTGTCTTTTCCCTCAGAATAGAGCTCCCTCTAGGGGATCAGCCGTCTGTGTGTTTGACGCAAAGCTATTGCATCCTTGAAGTGCTGATACTCTGGACACTCACTGAAGAGCAACATTTACACACTTGATTTTCCTTTCTGAGGCCCCTCCAAATCTATAGGGCATTTTGGTTCTCACCTGAAGTTCACCCAGTTGAGTGCAAACGCATAAAGGGACACACTGTACACACTCAGTCCCTCCAGGCTTGACATGTGTTGCTCTGATCACTGTTTGATATGGAAGAGTTCAGTAGAGAGACAGTAAGGGAGAAAGAGAGGCAGAGGATGCATGTTCATCTGTAGCTGCAAGTGAGCACAGAGGAGACTTGTATGTTGACCTCTACCGCAAAGCTGTGGAGAACAGATACAGCAACACAACTGGCATACATATGCACAAATACACTGTGTGCAGAGACAGGAAAACACACAATTACGAAGACACACCTCAGAGGATCTGGCCCTGTCTGCCCCCTCTAAGTTGGGCTGTAGAGAGTCCATCTCTCCTCTCTTACACGCTCTCTTCCTTGCCCTGTGCACTGACCCTGAGCGGATGAGTAGCCCGTCTGCACTAATGCCTTGCTGTCGCGTCAAGCACCAAGAAAAACTTTACTACACTGAGACAGGAGAGAGGAGGCGGAGAGGGACAGAGGAAGCTGGAGAATACAAGGGATCTGTGAGAGAGAAACAAGGCAGGAGGGAAGGAAGCAGCTATTAAGTGAAAAGGACAGAAATGTGAGATGTTTGGAGCCTCAGTTGATTTGTAACCACACAATTTGTTTTTATGCTTAATTTCCTTCCTCATATTAACTCAATTTCTATTCCCACTTCTGTTACCATTGATTATTTTTTTCATTTATTTTTTTCTATTAAAGTTCAACTAACACTAGATTTTTGGGTTTGGAATTTTTGAATAACTTGGGTAATAGTCATTTTTTTCTGCATAACATAAACAAGGTTTTTTATAAGGTCCCTTAAATTTGAGTTTTGGCTGTGCAATCAGCATGGCTCTAACGGTACATTCACACATACAAATTCAAACTAGCTGGCTGTATCTGACCTTCAGCGAATTTGTCCTTCTGGGGGTGTTTTGATGAGCATCAAAATTACATACTCTGCTCCAACTGGACAGTTGTTTTTTGACATATCCACCATACTATTGCAGCATATGCCTGTGATTTGTTTCTTTCCTTTTATATACATATATACTATCTATCTATATCTATCTATATATATATCTATCTATATATATATCTAGGCAGCTATCCCATTCCCAGCTATCATCTGATCCTACTTTATGCATTTGCCAACTATATTTTCTATTTATACTTGACAGCTTAAGATGTTACACACAAAACAGTTTATCAAGTAGTTAGCAGTCAATAATACACAATTAAATGTGAAAAAGAATGGGACAGCATTCATATAGGAGCTCAGTATACAAGTTAAATGATGCTTACCCATTATTTGGCCCCAAAGAAGGGGGGTGTAAGACCATGGCATCATAAATCTTAAGAGACAATAAACAGCATCATTTTCCAGACCTAACCTACCCTTAACACCAAGCACCCCCGAATCCTCGCATCACCCAAGCAAAGAGCTGATATGTGGATTGACACAGCATCTGCATTGTGTTTGCTCAGGTTAAGCAGAGGCTGGCTCAACTGGCCTGTAATGGCAGTCACCTCTGAGACTGCTCAGTTGTCCAACCACTGACACTGTCCACTGTTCAACCAAAATTGTCAAACAAAAGAAGAATACCCTACTAATGACCCCAGTGAGTCAATAGCCAAATTATCACCAACACCAATACAAGTTCTATACTGTATTGGCAAATTCAGGCTAACAGTTACCAAACAATTCAGATACCTCACCAGATAACTAGTATAAGCTAGTATTTCTCTGAAGCTTCTTCCGGTTCTTTTAAACCAGGAACTCTCAATGAGACGAAGTAGACTGCTTTAGATTTTATAAAAAATAACTGTGCTGGTTTATTCAGAGGATCACAGGTAAAATTCACATTACACGTCCAGACCTTTCTCTCACCCTCTACCTGCGCGCAGGCAGCAGAAAGGCTCAAGAACCCTGGACCAAAAAGCCTATATAATCTTAATAATTTCTTGGGCTAGCCCATGCTACAAGGGGCGTCAAAACCGTGACGTCACCTGATAAGCCAGCTTTGCAGTTGACTCTAACGTTAGCCAAAACATGAGGAAAAGTCAAGGTGCGTGACTGTTGTTTTCGTGGTGTGTATCTAAAACAATTGGACATAACCTTACACATTAAGACAAATATTAAGACTAGCATTACAGTTGACCCTAACAGCTCTTTTCCTGTAACCTTGACGTGCCTGCAGTCTGCACTGCAAGCACAGTTAACAGCCTGAGCTAGTCAATCTGTCTCCACTAACATTTCTAGACAACAAATCTCTGAATATCTAATATAGGAAATAACCTAACACTAGCCAAGCGTCTTCTTCCTTTTGTGCTGCACTCTGTGTTACTATTCGCTCTAACAAACCAGTCAAACATCTAATATATCCTCATGTTAGTTTGCTCATGGCCCCAAGCTTGGTGCATGTATCAAACATCTTTATTAAGCCTGCCCTTCTATGCTAGTTCACTTTAGCCTAGTATGTATAATCTACACATACTGTATGTTGCAGTTTACAATTTGTTCAAAGCACTTACCTTTTTACCCCATTCACACACCTTTCTTCTGCTTCAGAGCCACTTACTGGACATTGATCAGCCAGGTTCCTGAGTGTCTGTCTTAGGCTCCACATGTTTATACCTAACTCACCTAGCAGCTGGTTTGGCTACAAATTCCATACAACCAACCTCCATGGGACAGACTTTAACATTCCAGCCACTCTCCGCTGCCTCTGTTGGCTAATTCTGTATATTTCAGTTTCTTCCCCTCATAAGCTGTATCTACAGCACCTTCCCAGGGAACTATAAGCTCCACAAAATACACAGTCTGCTGTGCCTCTAACACAAAGTCTGGTCTTAGGTTACTGCTGACTATCTCCTCAGGAACTATGAGCTGATTTCCTAAATCTACTTTCATTTGCCAATCTCCCCCCTGCCTTTAGCTGGCTTGCATCCTGCCTGTTCAGAATGACTTACTTCCTGCCTTTTTCACCCTCATAAACACAAAATCCCCTCGTTTCTTCTACTCCTCCTTTGTGTTTACCTCTAAGTGCCTATTTTCAGTAGCTGCTGCTAAACATTTCAACGCTTGATTATGTCTCCAAGTGTATTGTCCCTGAGCCGGACTACACCTGAACACAAGGAACATGTAGGGTCCTTTCCTATCCATCTATTCAGTTTTTTGGGGAGAAGGAAGCACATCATAGGTTGCACCTAGAACTGAAATTGGCTCCATCTTGATCGACTATAATGTCAGAATTCAACTTAAATATTAATTCATCTGTTAAAATAAATAAATAATAAAACAAGCATTATATCCTACAACTAGCATACAGGATAAAACATGGCAACATAATGAATACTTTTATGTTTAATAGTTGAGTGAATTTAGCTAATAATACTTAAGTAACTTCATGTAAATACAATTTTGAATGTTAAACTTGTACTTGTAATGGAGTATTACTATGGTATAGTATTATTATGGCCTTATGTTGAACTACATTGTCCACCACTGCTGTTATGTGCTTCCTCTACTTACTGTTCCTTTACTGTTCTCTCAGTTTTGTTTCACACCATTCCTTCTCCTTGTCTTTTATGTTCTCTTCTCCATTTGTCTCTCCCCTCTCCTCCTCCTCCTCCTCTCATTTAGTTAGTGGTGGTTAAGTGGAGGGGAAGTGAATGGGATTGATGGCATCTGAGCTGTTTATGATGATGATAAATGTGTGTGTGCAGGGCAGAGGAAGAGGGCGTGTGTGTATGAGGATGATAAATGGAGGGCTCCCTGTTCACGCACTCCCAGTGTCTACTGCGCGCAAACATAAAGAAATGATTTGGGCTGACACACTGTCATGTAGTCTAATGCAGTTATATATCGTATCCACCAAGTGACAGACAAGAGGAAAGAGGGGGAGGTGGGGGGGTTGGTAAATTAATACATGCCAGTGGATGGAAAAGAAACAAAGAGGGTCATTCTGAATTGCTCTGATGTGTGTTTTTCAGTGAAGAACCTTCAAAAAGTGTGGGATTTTCACGGTGATAATTCTATATTTGTCCTATTGTCAATAAACCCCATGAGATGGCCGACACCAACAATGTCACTATTCTCAGATGTTATATTCTAAAGAAACATGTCGCCAGTGCAACAGTGTAACTCAATGTGCTTTAATAGTCCTCTGACCTTTGGAGGCCATGGCCTTTGGATTCAGATATGTAGATAATGCGGTCGTTGCAATGCAATGAATTGATTGTTTCGGTACAATCAATTCATTGCTGGTTTTGGGTCTTTGATGGGATTTGTTGGCAATTAGAACAACTGGGAATATTGCCAGCCTTTGTGGTCTCCATGGTCACAGATATTTCCATGTTTATGGCTATTGTATCATAGTATAACATATACTAATGGTACAATCACATGTCTATTGTATCTTTGATGTACACCTGTTGCAATTCCACTGAAGTAACACCTTAGAGTAAACGTCATACAGGAGGTAAAACCTGAAGGGCTCTTTTTGTCTATATAGCATGCTCAGAATTTGGATGTCAGGAACCTAAAGCCTTAATGTTATTATGTAAAACACAAATTCATTGAGTTTGGTTAAGTGATACAAATATTCAACATGAGACAAAGAATATTTGTAGGACAGTAACAATTCAAAGGGCAATGTGCAAAGAGCAAACAGGAGATACTGTATAAATATGATGATGGCAAATTAGTGACAGTGGTGGTGATGACAGCATATGTGCATGTATATGTGTGTGTGTGTGTATGTGTGTCTTAGCTGGCTGGGCGGTCCCAGCCTTACGCTTGGTTAGTGAAGACCAGACTACCCTCCTCATGTTCCTCCCACTGGACAGGGCAGCTACTCCACCCCTTCCCTCACTGGCATGGTACCTGGTGAGTACACACACACACACACACACACACACGCACACGCACACACACACTGCAACACACTGATATGATTAAAAATTCAAGTTTTAACCAAATTGCTACTGAACTCAGCTTCTCTTTACAGTAATTCTCATTTCTCGTTGTCTTCTCAGTAGATCTGTTACTGTACTTACATTATTAGTGTGAATCCGTACTGGATGTATGCGGAGTGTTTCCCCTGTGTCTTTAGGGGGTGTACTTAGCTTTGCCACATCCTCTTTCTACCCTATGGCTGACAGTGCTCCCAGGGGGTGGTGTGGGTGTGCTTTTGTGTACATCTATATATGTGTATGTGTATGTCTGTGCCTGTGTTGTGCGTCTGTGTGTATCATTAGAAACCAACCACAGTAGCACAGCTGTCCCTCCTCAACATTAGTAATTTGTTTTTAATGAGAATCACCAGTGACCCACGACTAATTCATTCATTCCCTTCCACTCCGCCTTTAATGCCGCTTTTGTATTTCAATCCTGGACCACCATTCTTGTTCTCTCTCCCACTCCCTCTCTCCCTTTCTCCTGCAGTGCTGGTCCTGGTCAGTGTGAAGTACATTGCAGAGAAATAACCAGAAAAACAGAAAAGCTTCAACAACACTGAAACAAAGCCAAAACAATATTGTTTACAACTTCTTGCCTCTGTGTATTCCCAATCATTCAGCATGTGACACACAAACATACGCTCTCTCAGCGGACATGTAAGAACAGCACGTCTGAAGATGGGTAACCCTGTCACCCTGTCCCCCTGCGCTCACCTCCTTCCTGTCCTCAGGTTTGACAGCATATTTGTGTGCAAATGTGTGCGTGTGTTCGGGCTGGTGTATGTTTATGCGTGTGCCGGCAAGCGATTGTTTGCGTGCATGCATGTTTGTTTTTGACAGTGTGCGTGTATGCGACCTTGACACTGAGCTACACGAGGGAGACCCGTGAGCCTCCTCTCCCCCTCCTCCCGCCCCCACACCCCCCACGTCTCCTAAACAACCTGACACGTTGCCGTCACTACGGTGATGACAAGGGGAGGATGTTTGCACCCAGGGATGCCATACAGACCGCATCCCGACCCCACCTGACAGATGCAGCTAAACATACACACATAAGCACGCAGACACACTTTTACAAAGGGTAGTGTGAGAAAGAAAACTTGGGGTGTACACCCAAGTGCATGCACGCACACACATACGGTCTTAACATTGGCATTCTTCTCAGTGAGTACTTGAAGCTGCCTGAATCCACACACTGACTAGAATGAGTTGAGGAGATAATCTCTCAACTTTGCTTCTCTGGCTTTGCCATGTTTTATCTTGGCACTTCTCTGGCAAATTATCCTTCTTTTTGTCCGCTCTGTCTAATATCATACCTTCATTAAGCAAGCAACTCTCTTCTGCTGTTCTTCTTCTCTCTCTGTGTCTCTGTCTTTCTCTCTTCAGCAGGGGGGCTGAAACTCAGAAGGGGTGTAGGAGAGCAGTGAGGCAGAACCGACAGAACGAGAGGCAGAGAGGAGGAATGGGTCGGGGGAGGTTGGAGGGAGGGGGGGCATCAGGGTCTGTGACTGTCAGCTATGGGAGAGGGATCCCCTGGGAGGAGTGAAGGTTCAGGAGAAAAGAAGGACAGCAAAGTAGTAGTGGAAAAAAGAGAGCAAGTCAAAGGAGAGATGGGGAATAAAGAGGAGAAGAAGTGGAGAAGAATGTTGGTTTGATGTGAGTGGTGACTAGCAGGCTGTAGCCAGGTGGGCCAGAGGAGAGAGAAAAATAAAAAAAGGGGGAGAAGGGAGGAGTGTGAGGGGAAGACAGGAGGAAGAGTAGGCCCCAGACAGTAAGTACTAAATGAGGGAGAAAAGCTATGCTATCATCCATTGTATGGCAGGACCACTGCAGTCCCGGTGAACATTGCAGTTCAGTCACTCTCAGCTTGTTTGCAAATGGTTCTGTAGAAAATCATCTCTGAAAACAACACATTGTGTGTCTAGGTGTATGATTCTCACTTTGGGGGTGAGAAGTCCCAGGCTCATATCCCAGATAAGCCCCCATTTATGTTACAACCAGGCTCGTTGGCAAAAAGAGAAGTAACATAAGTAACCACATGTAAAAAGGTTAAGTAAAGTTATTTATTAAAGTGATACAAATAATAACTGAAATAACAAACAGGCTACAAAAGAGAACAGAAGGTCCAAACAAATCCAACAAACATTAAGCAACAATCAAAAACGTACAAGGAAAAGTTGCTGTTTTTTTGTTTGTTTTTTTTTTTAATTAAGGGCAATCCTTCCTGCCTTTGATATTTCAAAATATGATCTATTCCTGTTTTTTTCAGGTGGAGATTTTTCTGGAAGTCCATATTCTCATCCTCAGTATTCCACATACAATGAATCATGGAGATTTCCTAACCCCAGTTTATTAGGTAGGTGAATCCCCCTATCTCCGCAGCCAGTTCTGCTTACCAGAGGTGGATCAATAATCGTGCCAAAGAATGTCATTTCATTTTACCTCTCTTCCCAGTTCCGGCCTCTCTCGTAATATGCTGTGTGTTTCATGCTCCACTGTTCATTTACTTCATTACATTACATTTCATTGTGTATTGTATCTTACAGTACAATACATCACAGTCATATTAAGGGTTCTGGAAGGATTTTTTTTTTTTTATACTGGCAATTTGGTTTATGAATGGATTTGAAGAAAAGTATGGCGAAGAACTAGAGAGAGGAAGGAAAAGATTAGGAGGTATTTATCTGCATCTCATTGGTATTGTATTTTGGGATTTGTGGGATCTTATGTTATTGTTACTGTGGAGAACAATGACCTTTTGCTTTTCGTGTTTCAGGCAAACACCCTCATGTCAATCTTCACATTAGAGTTACTCACTGACAGGTGGTAGAGATGAGTAGTTCAAGTT